AGCCCCCCACCTAGCCATTCTCTACGTCGGCAATATATTTTCTGCTCTGCTATTGTTACTTCTTTTGACTTATGCAAAGAATCGGGGAGATACATCGGTGGCAGCGGAAAGTAACCCCATTCCTAAAGAACAAGTAGCTTGATTTCCATTACTGGATGCTAAACCTCAACGCGACAGAAGCAGAGTGTTCAGTGCTAATGGGAGAGTCTGCGACCACTCCTAACTGAGGGGTTGAAAATGATGCCTACCTTAGACCACTACCCCAGCTCCGTGTTCTGAAAGAATGCTATTGACAACTGAAGCTACGCTTACTCCGAAGCATCTGGAAAAGTTCCCTACAGAGCTGTCGACGGAACCTGTATGAAGATTTTGATTAAGCTAACACGCGATACCTCCTCCACATCTCTATTTTTCGGATAGAACCCAGAGAGATAGATACATAACTGAGCAGCGCTGAAATGAGAACGAAGTGTCAAGGAGGAATGGACGCAACAACTTGTCTCCACGAAAATATTTTGACTCTGCTTTTATCTGAGGGGTCTCACCACTAGCGATGGATAAACCAGGTGACCAGCAAATTCCCCTTACCCAAAGACAGATCCTAAACAGGACGAACACCCGTATCCAATGGAATCGCCGAGAGGGACCTGTGGCATTTCAATCAAATAGCTTCGCCGTTCCATGCAAATTCGATGACTGGAGCAACTAGTTCGTGGGTGTGATGACCCACGTGGGAGATTAACCGGTAGAAGGGCCGAAGACGACGCTCAAAAGGCAAGGAGAGGTTATACATAACCTCGATTGTTCGTTTAACGCTGCATCTTAGTTACGCAGGCACTTAAAGCTCCGCCGTCGCACCTCCACATGGCGGCATGGCCTCTAAACCATGCTGGCAGTTCGCCATCCAGCCCTTCTGTGCGTGGGAAATGCGTCTTCTGCCCAAGTATTATGACTTCTTTCGAATTCAGGGAAGACTCGGGATTCTGCACTCACATCTAAAAGCAAATATTAACATTTATTTTCTTCAAATATTGCTCGAACTTTGTACTGCAAATAGGCGGTGCGTAGAGAACTAGTGTAAAGGCCCATCTGCCCATCTCTCCCAAGACCTCCAGGAGGGAATAATTTTCCAAAACCACTCCCAGATACGTTCTATTCTTGCCCTCTTCCCAATTTTTTACACTTATTCCACATTTATGGAGCTGATTTAAGGTTAAGGTGGTCATTTAAATTGGCTCAATCTTGACTAAAAGCACTAACGGAAGTGATTGGGATCTATTGCCAAAAAACATTATTTATTAAGAATTTATGCCGAAAAAAGTTGTGTTTCAAAAATATGCATCAATGCGTTTAACCGACCATTATTCCCTGATTTTCGTTCCCTTCTTAGAGTGGTCCAAACCCCCGAGACCTTCGAGGCCGCCTATAATAAACTACCACGCTAGAAAACGCACTAAAAAGGACAATTTGATTCCTCAAAACTGACAAAACAAGAATGTTTTTAAATGATTTAAAGCATAAATTTTACCCTGAAGTTGTTCCAGCGCTCCCTTCTCTGTATTTCCCCTGTAATCTGTTGATTCCGGTCCTAGCCAATAGCAGCTGTCCATCTTTAATGACTAAAAATAATACAAAATTTACATCCCAGCATTAAAAGAACAGTGTTTTTTTAAACCAACTACTTTATGTTTTCAGCTCCTTGTTTTACTGAGGTCGAGCCTTTTGCCGTCATCTTTAATCCATAAAGTTTTCTCAAGGCTGGAAAGACAAAGT